AAACGATAATACACTTTATTATAATTAATTTCTCTGTGTAAAATAAATATGGACCAATTCTCAGTGTAGAATAAAAAGCAATCGTCGGAAACGTGAATTTAGCAAGCAATCGTACCTACAATCATGGTGCTATTATAAGGATTTATATGGGTATAAACAAGGTGCTTTTGCCCCTAAACGAACATGGGGACCCCTCATTAGTAACGCGCTCGACATAAGCATAAGCATAAGGACAAGAAAAACAGAACTGTTCGTTTTTCTTGTGCTTATGCTTATGCTTATGTCGAGCGCGTTACTAGTGAAAACTGCACAAGACAAATAAGTGGGTTCGTTCTTCTTATGTTTCTGCTTATGCTTATGTTTATGTCGCGGCTGTTTTCACTTGTGCTTATGCTCTGGTGAAAACCAGCCTTTAAGGTTATTCCTCAGAATTGCATTGCGCATCCGTACTGCGCACGATTTTCGCGTCATTAGCGCGCGCTCGCAAGCGCGTGCACATACAAAATAGTGGCTTTTTTAAACGGCTTGGGTTGCGAGAGACAAATGATCGTTTTTTCTTGGAAACGAGTACGGAGACCTAACGATTATTTTACTTAGTTTGAATGCAGCGATCACCTTCTTTCTATACAGTGAATATTGACCAATTTCTATTGCAGAGTAACAAATTATCACTGAAAATGAGAGCATAGCAAGCACTCGTAAACGATAAGATGTGCTCTCAAGAACACTGCGCGCTTGGAACATATTGAATCCCTGTCGACTAAATATAGGTGCCTTTATCATGAAACGTAGATCAAATTGCTCCTTAACATTGATGCAGTACATCCATTGTTATATTTCTCGCTTAACTTTCTCCCAATTTTTCTGCTCTCACAATGCGTGAAGTGAGTGGTTTAAATGTAAACGTTTCTAAAAGCAGATAATTTAAGGAATTATGGGGTTTATTGACGGTCCCCCTGTTCCTAAACGAATACGGGGACCCCCCTTTTTTATTTCAAAATTTAAGTTCTCTTGATGTAAGCAGCCAACAGGCAAAATTTGAATGAAAATCTATTGTGCATTCTTTGTCGGGGGGAATGAGCTTAAGGTGATGCCTCAGTATTGCATTGCGCATCCCTACTGCGCACGACTTCGCGTCATTAGTGCGTGTACTTACACAATGAAAGAGATTTCCCTCAAGCAAATCTCAACAGCGAAATAAATGCTCGTTTTCTCTTAAACGAGCATGGTGACCGATATTTCTTTTCAGATTTTATTGCATAATTTTAATGAGAACAGTATCCTCAATAACTGAGAAAAAAATTAACAAAAATCTATGGCTACTTTTTTGGCAAATGAAATAAATTCTACAGAGGGAGATATAACAGGCCCAACAGCACATGTCCAAATTATGTTTCCTTTAAGGACAAATAAATGCAGAGTATTTGCAGACATTTTTTCTGGGACGTAGATGAATCAACAATCAACGAAATTCAAACTCTGTGTGATATAACATGCTGCATTGAAAAATAATCGAGCTTATTTGTTGCGCACGGAGATTACCAAAATTCACCTAAATAACCATATCTGTCAGCATTGTGGCATGAAAACAAGCAAGGTGACCCCCTCTTTTTATTACGTTTTTAATATCTCCTTGTCCTGTAACAACAGCATACCAAGTTTCATTGGAAATCTATGGCGGGTTCTTTTACTAGGGAACACCTTAAAAGCGAACATGATTTGCAATTTGATCCTCCCATGTAGTGATTTTATATGTATTTTTGGAGATTTCCTCGTTTTGTTTGTTCAGTTTATTTGGTTTGGTGGAATGCTTATTGGTGAATTTCTTTTAAGTTAATGGCGAAGGACTCGTAAAGATAGAGCAAAAAATAATATTCAACCTACCCTTTATCGTGAATGTTAAATTAACGTGAACAACACACGTCTTTGAAATCTTTTACCGTCTCCGGCTTTTAAATGCATTTCTTTGCTTTATTCTTACTGATAATCAATCTTAAACGATTTTTCTTTCACATTTCTTTCCATCTTATGTTTTCATAGCGAATAGGAGTTCCTAGTCCATTTGAAACTCGCAGGTGTAATTTGGAGATATCCTTGTGTAACTCATTCGGCTTGATGAAATGCTCATTAGTGAATTTCTTTAAAGGTTTTTGAGTTGAATAAATGATTAGTATTTTATGGGAGTTCGGCTTTTAGGTTTGGCTAAATCTGTATATTAAAACCATGTAAACAAAAGAAAAGGTTACGTTAAAAGAAAATAAAAACATAGCGATGATGATAAGGTTCAAAACGCTTACATCACAAATATTACATTACAGATTAAACATTACAAAGAACTCTTAATCTGTTTTCGTTTCCGCTTTAAAAAACTAATAGAAACAATTAAATAACATTATAATGCGCAATCTTGGTGGGCTAAAGCAGCCAACTTCGTCACTTTTGTGTATTTCTATGTCCTTCTGAAAAAATTCGAAAATTAGAAATTCAAACGTTTTCATAATTTTTTTATTTTTTGGTAGGATGATGTACTGGACAAGCTGGAGTTACAAATCTAAAATTGAGAAAGCTGAAATGACAGGCAAAGAGCGTGTTGTCCTTTTGAGTTCATGGGACCTGTACCCGAACGGCCTTACTCTTGACCACGAACAAAGTCGCTTGTATTGGGTAGATGAAAACTACCACAAGCTAGAGTACCTGGATCTGAACCTTAATGTCAGAGTAACCTTGATAAGTTCTAACTACCTCTTACCTTATCCATTTGGACTAGCACTTCTCGGAGATCACTTATATTGGACTGATAGGCACCTGGGAACTGTTTATCGAGCCAATAAGACTGGTGGCGACGTCACAAAGTTTGTAGTGAACATTGGCCAGCTCAGGGATATTCATAGCTATAACCTGAGTGAGCATTCGACACCTGGTAAGCGGGAGGATGCTCTGCTAAGTCGGGAACTCTTCAGTTTGTCAAGAACTTAGTCTGTTTGTCAGTCCATGGTTGACATCCGTCTTGAAACCTGTTCAGATTGATAGTTTTTGATTTTCCAGTAACAGGAATGAAAGTTTCTATGAATCTCCCCCCGCCCCCCCTCCCTCCTCCTCTCGTCTTGTTCACAGCACTAATTTGCTTTCGATGATCATATTTAGAGAATGATGATAATAACTAATAACTTCAGAAGGCAAAGAATACCTTGTTGGTATTTGATTTATTTGCACCCATGTACCCCAAAGCCAGTCCTCGGTTTCTGTGCTGGTTGACGACAAAGGCTATTAGCTATTTATGGACAACCTATATATGATTCTCGATTCTTGACGATTCTTGGGGCTAATTTCAACGTAGAGTGATATCTTATTGGTTTGCAGCCAAAATGCCGTAATTTTGAGATCGCCATCTTGGTTCTACCATGTTGATTTTCGTCAGTTTTCTTTGACTTCATTCTAAAGACTCCAGTAATGCAACGCTGGAAGCTCTAGAAAAAAAAAAAAAGAGAGAAGTAACGAAAACGATAAACCTCTGACGGATGAGCGCTAAAATCGTTCTGAGATAAAATTTGGAACATGTAGTCATAACATTTCCAAAAAGTACTAATTGTGATTTTGAGACGGCAATACCACATTTTATACCAAGCCAATGAGAATAGAGGAAAGCCGTTGTATATTCGACGGTATTACATCCAACCTTTCCATCATGCACCGCGCGTATGTGACATTGATTGTGTTGACCACTGTATTTTGTATGGCATGCTATAAAATAGAAAGGCTCGTGTATATACCGAGAAAATACTAGTGACTCGTGGAATATTCCAATGTATACCACTCGAGAGCGTTGCGTAACTGGGATATATTGGCGGCTAGTTGGGAGAAAAACACATTCTCTTACTGGGCGGGGCTGCGTAGCGACAATGCGTAATACGAAGAACAATTTTAAACCTTTGTCACACAAAATTATGGGAGATTTGTTGCGTTAAAATGTGATATGTCGAACTAAGCATTTTTTCGTGTTTCAGGCGGCCATCCTTGTCAGCTAAATAATAGTGGGTGCAGTCATTTGTGTTTAATATCTTCGGCCGGAAGTAAATGCGTTTGCCCGAATCACCTTACTCTGCAAGAAAATGGGAGAACCTGTTATCATAAATACGGTAGGACTGGCTAGTAATACTCGTATTGTGGCAGTCTTGTTTTCGCATTTAAGGTGTCTCAAAACAGGTTCCAGCACTTTCCAATTGTGATTGGTTATGATGGTTAATTATAATCACTCTTTGTCAAGTGATTCTGCAATCATGGTATCAAAAAACTGTCTAATCATTGCTTAACAGGTTATTATCATTTTCGTGACACCATAGATTACCATAGAAACAGTGTAACCTACTAAAAACACCCTTAATTATAGCTTTAAAGGCTTTTATTTAAAAAACGACACGATGAATTTTTAAGCAGTTATACTGTTGCTATTGTAACCTATTGTGTCACGATAATGATAACAACTTGTTTACCAGTGATTGGGAAGATTTTTTGATACCATGATTCTTGCATCAATTGATAAAGAGTGGTTATAATGACCCATCAAAATTTAAGTCTTGGAAAGTGCTGGAAACTGTTTTGAGCCACGTTAAGTCGCATTGAAGACAGCATAAACTTTCTTGTGCCGTTTTTTACCCACACGTGTTTTCGCCATCAAGACCTATCCCATAATACTTGTCACAGACAACCACAACAACCATTTCAAGCATCACCACTCTTCTTCCGTATTTGTGAACTTTAAGACTAAATTCCTATTTTTCCACAATTTTGTGTAAGTTTTAAACGTAAGACGTTCATTGTCTTTTTTGTTTTTTCAGATTTTCAGAAATTCTTGTTGTTCGCCGAAGGCAGTAAATCTGAAATATTCATATTTCCTTTGGATGGTTCCAGCCCAGAGGCTAAACCTGTACCAATAGAGCTAGACATGGATCGGCCGGTTGCACTTGATATGGACATTACAGAAAATAGAATTTACTGGACAGACACTTACCTGAACACAATCTCGAGGGTGTTTATCAATGGATCATCACCTGAAGTTATCGTCTCTGAGGATGTTTATAGTTCCTACGGTCTTGCTGTTGATCCACTGGGCAGAAATATCTACTGGACTGACACTGACGCAAATAAGATTGAGGTCAGTAGAATGGATGGAACAATGAGGAAGACACTGATACACCAGGACCTGGATAATCCAAGAGATATCATTCTTGATCCCAGTAAAGGGTAAATAGAACATTCTTATTATAACCGTTTACTTCAAGCTCAGAAGCAACAGCACTGTGACTGGTCTATTGTTGCGAACATAAGATTGTTGTTTGCGTCGGTAGATGGCCTTCTTTGCTAATTATGAATTTAAAGATGGTAAATAAACCATTAAGTGAGTTATGGGTTGTTCTCAAATTGTTCTACAGCTTAATGTACTGGTGTGAAGTGGGTTCAATGCACAAGATTGAAGTCGCAAACATGGATGGAGATGATAGACATGTACTGGTTAGAAGAGGACTGTATTATCCAAACGGCCTTACACTAGATGACA